ATAAGACTTAAGAATAGTAAATTAAGATATACAAATAAATTATTGAAATATATAATGATTCCTCTTTTAAATGTCATGGTTTGTTCTACTTAAATACTTGTGAGGATCACTTAAGAGTTAATTCTATCATTAATAATTAGTATCATACTTTAAATTCTTATTGTCTGGATGTCATGGAGGAAACCTTGTATATAACTTACCATATGTAGTCCTCCTAACAACCCTTTAAAAAAATATCAGTAGCATACCCATTTTACAGATGAGAAGACAGAGGAAAGAGTTGTTAAATAGCCTACACAATGCCACATTCTCATGAAAAGTCAGACCTCGGACTTAATCCAGTAGGTGACAAAGTGCTTGTTTGCTATCACTCTGTTGAAATGGTGGCCCTAAAATGATCTCCTAAGGATGCTAGATAGGACAGTGTAAATATTCTGCTATCCTAACATTTTTTGCACAGATTGAGCTGCATCTGTTTGTTGTTATGGAATTGTAAGTTTTCCTTCCAAGAAATGGCACAAGTGAATACACACACCACCTCCGTTCCCTGCCACAGAACATTTGCCTTTGAAGTGTCCACTTAGCTGGTTTGGATCTTAGTTGAGCATTTAACAAAAGTTAAAATGTAATGCCAAATTTTGCCGGTTGGATTTTTTTTTATTAGATAAGGTAGAAATGAAAGCAGCAGGCAATTTAATTAGCTGTAATTTTTCTGGGCAAGTCATTACTTTGATGAACTTCAGAGCAATGTTTATGCTCCTAATTAACCATGTTAGTCATTTGATTGAATAATCACTTTGGAAATGTTTCTACAATTTGATTAGAGTCTGACCGACTCTGATAGTCATAAATTAACTGATATCACTTTAGGATAACATGACTTTAGTTACTTTCTGTGGATAAACCTGTTAGCCCTAGTTTTTTCAGGGTCCTCTAGACTGCATACATTGTATCCATTAAGAGGGTGGACTGGGTTTAAACAAGGCTAGTCAAGGCCCCAACTTTATGAATTAGTTGTTAATTTTATTTACTCTCAGATGTACTAAACAGTAGGGAGTGGGAAAGCACAATTATATTCATGTATACATATATATTCTAAGTTATCATTGCCCTTTTAAAATCACAAGTTGGGCCTTTGCAAACATAAGGAAAATTCTTGCCTGAGCCTTTTTATTTTTTAATCTCTCATTGATTTGTTACAAATTTTAAATCAGTGTTTTAAATACCATAGAAAAATGCTAGATTTTTTTTTTTTGAAGAATACAGTGTAAGAACAGCAATAAAAGACACCAGCTATTTCAGTACATGCATGAGTATTAGTGAAATTGAGCATCAAATATCTTTGATGTGGTGTCTAGTTTTCCAGGATCACACTAATTTTTCATCATGTTTGAACACTTTCAACAAGATGTTCCTTCAGTTTCAAATAGTGGGTTTCTCAGTAATGTTCCATTTCCTCTCTCCCTTTTTTCTCCCCCTCTAGGAGGTAATGTCACATTTAGTCACACTTATATGTAGTAGACTTTAGCCTATATGTTCCCTCTGGCTGTCTCCAGAGCCTGCCAGCTGCTTTTACAGCCGTTCTCCAGGTGTATAGCAGTCAGTAAGACTATTTTGTGGCAGCGTGTCAATGTAGGTGTAACATAATGCTGGCCTTGGAGCAGCTGCTGGGCTGACTGCGGTCATTAACACTGCCCCTTCCAGGCCCAGAGGCTTTGAGGGGCCTTAGGCTTGGCAATAAATTAGAATAACATTAAACATTAATTTAAAGGTTGGCCATTAGTTAAAAGATTGGGACAAGATGGGTTGCTAACTATTTGGCAATCCGGGCCTATTATAAATACTGATGTTAGGAAATAGGGGGACCATGCTACCTTCATAGACTCAGAATTATATACTATGTAATATGTTATATAGTAAAGCATGTTATACTAAAATGTGTTAATAAGTTTTGCAATATTTTCAACTAGTGACCTATGAGTTCTTTCATCCTTTTACTTAATTATTCAATTTTATTTTTGTGGTGCTGGGCATTGAACTCAGGATGTTGTGCATACTATGAAAGTACCCTGCTACTGGGCTACACGCCCTGCCTCTTACATTCTTTTTTTCTTTACTTTCTGTTTTTGTTCGTGTGATAGGGTCTCATTATGTAGCTCAGACTGGTCTCAATCTCATGGCCTTCCTCAGCCCTTCCAATAATGGGGTTATAGATGTGAGCCACCGCATCTGGCTTACTACATGCATATTCAGTTTTGTTAAAATTAAGGTTTTAACATATCCTGCCGGTGTGGTGGCGCATACCTGTAGTCCCAGCACTTGGGAGGCAGAGGCAGGTGGATCTCTGTGAGTTCAAGGCCAGCCTGGTCTACATACTGAGTTCCAGGACAGCTGGGGCTACAGGGAGACCCTGTCTCACAAACACTAAAAAAAGGAAAAAATAAAAAAAAGACAAAACAAAACAAAAAAACACAAGTTAATTTTTTTTTTTCTGTGTTAAAAATTGCTTGCAGTTTGGTTGACATTTACCATCAGATTCCTTCCCTCCAAATGTTATTGGGCAAAACAATAGCTAAAAACAAAACCCAGAAAACAAACTAATTTTATAGATCAAAAATTCCAGGCTAAGAAAGAATTGTCTGGGTCACATAAAGCACATTAATTATCTTCTTATAATGATAGAGTATATAAATGCATAGTTCTAAAGAGATAAGGTTTTGAAATTCCAAATCATTCTTTAAGAGTTATATGTTCACAAGTGTTCGGAAGCAGGGCATTTTTAAGAATTAAATAACATTTGTGGCATGCTCTTATAAATTTTATTTTTGTTTATGTTGCTTAGGAAATCTGGTAATATATGCAGATGATGTAATTGTCTTGATCACATGTATTTATATATTCAAGATTGGGCCCTGGTTTGTAGGACCTGAAACTTCAGATTTGAGGAACCTGTTTTGGGGATAAAGGAAATAAAAATAAAAGTACTAGAGTAGGTATTGGATTTCAGAAGAAACTCTTACTACAGTGACGGATCCAGAAGTTCAAATTTCATGGTGCTGCCATTCATCCGCTCCTGGTTATTCAAATGAATCTCTGCCCTCAGAATCAGGAATCTCAAGGATAATACACTGATGTTAGGGAATAGTTTCCAATCCTTTGTTTTACAGAAGTATAGATGTAAATGGTTTATCACAAGTTACATAACTTAGATAATAGTAAGGTCCAGGATTTTAATCGTCTGTCTTCTGCTTCAAGGTTATCTCATTTTCTTCATGTCTAAACTATTAAACATATTCCATTCCGAGTCAGCACTGTAAGGCTTCGAAGTTCCTCAATTTGTTGTCTCCTCCAGACCCCTTGGTCACGTGGGCAAGGCTTCACTCTCAGTACAAGGGTAGAACTGATGTTCTTGGTTTTTTTTCTTCATTGGTTTTAGACATGATCTATATTCTTAATAAAAATGAAAATTCAGACATGCTGTTATCTGAGAAAAACACAGTAATCATCTCAAAAGAGTAAAGATAATTTAGCAGTTAATGAAGTAAATCATGACTGAACCTTTTGTTGATTCTTGCACCCTGCATAGAAAGCCCTGGGATGTATAAATTTCTTTCTTAAGTGTCCTGAAACATACTTAGAACTTATGAAACTCTTGTGGACGATGTGACGCCCGTGTGTATTGCTGTTATTGCTGAACTTTAGAAAGGTTGATTTGGTAAAACTAAGTTCACCTGTTTGTTGAAGGGAATTGACATTCCCCATGTAGGCTTTGCCTGTAATTGTAATATTCACCGTGTGCAATCAGACTCTTGCTGTTTCTGTACTTTTCTGGTCCATTGATAATGATGTCCTTTAAATCTGCCACTTCTTTAACCAATTAATTGTGTTTCTTCTTTCAGAAGTGCCTAGTTGCCACACCATTTACATGAGGCAAGAAGGGTTCCTGACACATCCAAGCAGAACGGAAGTTAAGTCCTCCATTTAAAAAATTCCTTATAAATCACATTCAAAACAATTGTACATTCCAAATATGGACCACTTAATTAATCACTATGTTCTTCCAGACAATGCATTAATGTCCCTTAAAACATTATTTTAAAACTTTATTTTTTGGGTGCTGGGGATGTGCCTCATTGGTAGAGTTCCTGGCTGACATTCCCAAGGCCCTGGGTTCCATCCCTAGCAAGGCAAAACAAACAAACAAACAAAACAAAACTATTTTTTTTAAATGAAAGGATCGTTTTTCAGATGGGTAGTTTATAGTTGGTTGCTATCATGAATCATGTGCACACAAATAACTGTCCTCTTCTTTCAGTCACCATTCTCTTCTAAACTTAAACATGAGCTTCATAGACTGCCCTTCCTTGAGCACGCTACTAAAATATATCCTCCAGAACAGTCAGTTCTGAGAGCACAAGCCTAAGTTACAGTTTTGAGGTAAAAAGCACTGCAGGGTGAAACATTTTTGCCTTTTAATGTCTGATATTTTGAACCTTTTGTAGAAGTAGTTATTAAGAAGAGGCTAGAGAAGTTTCATTTCAGCTCTGTTTATGGCCATGGAAAGCTTTGCTCTAACAGACATTGACATCTGCAAAGTAATAGACAAGAAATGGTTTTATGTGGACATTATCTCCTTGAAGGATTTCTGGAACTCTGTTCTTGCTTCTTAAACACCTTATTTTTCAGTAAAATTGCCTTAGTACATCCTTTTTGGTTAGGTTTTATAGTCACTATTTCATGTGGAATAGTATTTATAGAAGTTTATATGATAGTGAACGATAGTAAATACAAAATACTTGAAGGCAAAAGTTTTGCACCAATGCAATATAATTATCATTGCTGTTACTAATATTATGAATCTACTGCAGAGACTGAAATATTTGAGAAACAAACTGATAGTAAAGTGAAATGTCTTCCCATAATTACAGCTGGCAGCTTAAGGTCCACAGTGAGGTATATATGAGGGAAAATCATCATGAAAAGACACCAGTCTATTTTTCACTTTTTCTGTGAGCTGAGTTATAGTATAGCTAAAAACAAAAGCAAAATAAAATACTCCTCTCCCCACCTCCACTCTCTTGGCTTTTAAAAAGGAGAAGGGGCTGGTAAGAGTGCTCAGTGGATAAAGGTGTTTGCCACCAAGCCTGGTGAGCTGGGTTCAGTCCACATGGCAGAAGGCGAGAGCCAACTCCCACACTGTCTTACGACCTTCATACTCATTTTGTAACATGCACCATATACACACAAATAGAACACAGAAAATTATTTTTAAAAGATGAGAAGTTTAGCTTTTCAAGATATTTCTACAAGGAAGTAAGGGGTAATGTAAATAAATCTGTTTCACAGCATCAGGGAAATCAAGGACAATACCAAGACATTCACATCGATGTGCCTCTCCTCATTAAATAATGAAACAAAGAAGAAACCTTTAAAGAAACTGATGCATTATCATCCTAGGTTTATGTGAGGCTATGCTTCGGTCAGAAACTGTAGAAGTAGCTAATCTTTCCATTTCACTGTGCTTAGACCCCGTCTACATTGAATACCCAGCAATCATTTAATCCTCGCAACAACTCTGTTATAGTAGGTGGTGGTACTGTTTTCCTATTCAATAGATGAGGACGGACAAGGAGACTGCTAACATATCCAGGATCAAAGGGCGGGGATGTGGCAGAATTGTTCTCAAAACGATTTTTGTGACAGTGGTTTCCTTAAAATACTTGTGAGCCTCATTTCATCTCTGTCTTTAATAAACATGTCCCATTTTCCCCACAGGCTGTATGTTTGAAAAGGGCCCGAGGCAGTTCTATGATGACACATGTGTAGTTCCTGAGAAGTTCGATGGTAGGTGTCTCATTTTTGATTCTTTTAAGAGAGAATGGAGACCATAGTTTTGTCTTCTGAAAACAGTTAATATTTGTCCATTTTGATTTCTATGCACATCATTGAGCATGTACTGAGTTCTAGCTAAACTTGACTCATTGTAGATTCTCTTTCCTTTCCCCACTAAGAACCCCCATCCCTTCCCTGTCTCCTTTGGTTTCATGAGAATTGGTTTCTGGAGATCCAGGCAAAGCACATCATTCTTGCTTTCTGTGTAGAGACAGGGGCATCTTTCCATTGTCCTGCTGAGTGCACACAGCTTGTTGTTGGAGATTTATTGAAAGCTGATCCTGTAATTAACAAAACAGAGCAGAAAGCATGTGACTGTGGCTGCACTGATGGCTAATGCAGCCTCCTTTCTTTTACTGTTCATGAAAAAATGCATTATAGAGCACAGGAGCAACATAACCGCTCATTTAGTTACTGATTGCTAGTCCCTCTCTCTCTCTTTTTTTTTTTCCAAAGGAAGATGTACATTACTAATGTAGTATATTACTTTATAATTGCTTAAAAGGGAGTTAGGAAAGCATTACCTTTTTAATATCACTCACCAGTGCAAAGAAAAGGTCCCAGATATTAGAAAAGAGCGTCAGGCTAGATAGAATCTTCTTGACAAGGGTGGTGGCAAAAGTTGACGTTTACGAGGAAGCACGGATAAAATGTGAACAGTTAATTCATTTAGTGACTCTGCAGAGTGGTCTCCGTATTTCCTGCTTTGATTGTTAAACAGGAAACGAGCAGGGGCCCTCTGATTAGCTGATTGCACAAACTTTGGGGATCAGGACTGTAATGACTCGGGCGCTCTCAGTTTTTAATTGTCATTATTTAAACAGCAAAATACAGGTTCAGATTGCTTTTCAGTCTCATAATTAGTTACTCAACGATGACTCTAGGTTCCCAAGCTTCTTGCTGCTCTTGTACTTTTCAGAAAGGATGGTGAGTCTTGAGAAAATCTATTTCCTTAGCCTCCCGTAAAATTTCTAAATTTATTAAAGGTCACTGAGTTGAAACCCCAAAGGGGGTCATGTTTGGGGCTTTATTCTACAATAGCTACCGTAAGCCCATTTCAGAGTTGTGAATTGCGCTACCCAGCATCATTAGCACAGCATCACGGTTCTTTAAATCTTGCCTTTTCTTTTCAGACAGAATGTCTTTTGTTTGTTTACTTATCGCGAGTTTCACCTTTTACATAATCTTAAAATAAGCAAAGGTACATGAGGAGGAAAAATATCTTAAAACTATGAACAAAGTAGAACATAATGTTTAGGGAACTTGTTGTCTGTTTATTTACTTTGACTTTAAATACTCTTGCAATTTGGTATTGAGAAAACATTTTGAAGGATAATATATGTCTTACATTTTGTAAGTATGAGAAAAACAAGAAAAACATGGTGATTATTTTTTTCATTGCACATGGTTAATGGAAATGAGGTCCATTTATAGGCAGCAATGCTATAGAAACTAAAATCTAACAAGGTTTCACTCTATTTGTGTAATTGTTCACTTGCCTTCATGAAAAAACTTGTAAAGGAAAAGCTGAAGTAAATAAAACTTGCCTTTGTAATCAACACAAAGACATACGCCTATATTATCTAGTTAAGAACAAAGGAACTTAAGTTTTAGCAGATAATGACTAAATAATTGTGTGCTTTACTTTAGCTATTTATTTATCTTAGTGTATATTTTTATTGAATTTTTACTGTATTTATACAATAAACCTTAATCATATTTAGATCCTCTCCTTATAACTCCCCCTAACGGAATTCATGCATTCTGTTAAGGTCTAAAGAGTCAAACTTTTGTACCCAGATGTCCCAAGGTTTAAGTTTATCCACTCGAATCTAGTCAGCCTATCTAGAGTCATTCCCTTAAAGAAGGTCAGCTCTCCCTTACCCAGCAATAATCAGTTGCCCTTGAATAAGGCTATTTATTTATTTATTTGTTTATTATTTATTTTTGAGACAGGGTCTCAGCATATAGTCCTGGCTGGCCTGGAACTTGCTTTGTGTTCCAGACTGGTCTTGAACTCACAAAGGTCCAAGTGGTAGGATTAAAGTCATGTGCCACCATGCCTGATCTAGTTCAGCTTGTTAAAACTTTGCTTTTTCTGTAGTTATTTGAAGATGTATATTTCTGTTTACTGGACACAGGAAATTTTTAGAAAGCTTGTGATTTAGTCTGTTTTGTATTTCACAGTAGTGTAAATAGATTTGCTTGAATATACTCTGCCTGAACTCTTTCTGCAGTGGTACAGAAACAGTCTCTCACTAATGATGAACTGGCAGGGCTACAGGTGCTGGAACCCCATCTGGCCAGATCCATGTAACTTTGAAATGCATGGCAGTCGATAGAAGTAAATAATCAAGCTGGGTGTGGAGGCGCATGCCTTTAGTCCCAGCACTAGCAACTGCATCTCTGTGAGATCAAAGCCAGCCCTCTTTATATAACATAAGTTCTGGGCTATCTAGGACAACAGGGAGACCCTATCTCAAAAAGATAAAAAACAAACAAACAAACAAACAAAAAACTAGAAGTAAATGATCAGTGGTTACAATACCAAGTTTTTGTTCTGTTTCAAAAAGCTATGACAGTTGACCAGACTCACAATAAATGTATTGGAAACACCTTTACTCATACTTACTAGATTTATATCCTCTACTATGAAAATAGATAAATGTAGCACATATTTTTCTTGCTTAAAAATAACTTTTACAGAAAGTTCTGGTGTGTTCATTCTTAAATGGGCCTTTTACAAAAAGAACAGTGAGCTAAATTCAAATTATAAAATGTCAATAAGAGATAAAAAGCAAGAGAGTTTTCTGTATTGCCAGGTGAAAGGGTACTTCGTGCTCGGGAACATGTAGCAGTGGAGTGTTTTCAACACCCTGATTCCTCACATGATTTTTAAAATTTAGATAAGATACAGATTACTAAGATTTATGATATTACTAAATTTGCATTAAAATATGTCCATTAAAATTTTCAGTTGTTTGTCATGTGCAGGTTTATAAAATATTTTCAAATTACAGTTTTCAGAATTTGATTTGTACAAACAAAATGCTAATTAGTTCCTCCTCAGTGTTGCTTAGAGCAGAGGAACGGCACTGACAGCCAAGTATGGTGAGCTTCCATTGGTTTTAAGGAAGTCGATGACAAATAGATAGTTGTGCCAGAATGTCATCTGTAAATGATATTTATAGATTTATTCCACACTGGTGTGCATATATATTAAGGAGAATATAGTATATATGATGCCTGTACCTTGGGACAGATTGTTTGTTTATATTTAATCATTTAGTTATCTTAAATCTCTAATAGTGCTACTAAATTTCATAGAAACCCATAAACCCATAAAGTGATTGTCTTTAACCATTTTCAGGATTGGTTTGATGTAAATTTTTATAAGTAACATAATGTTAGTGTTAATAATTTTTTTTTTTTTTTTAATTTAGGGGACATCAAACAGGAGCCAGGGATGTACCGGGAAGGACCTACATACCAGCGGCGGGGATCGCTTCAGCTCTGGCAGTTTTTGGTGGCTCTTCTGGATGACCCTTCAAATTCTCATTTCATTGCCTGGACCGGTAGAGGCATGGAATTTAAACTGATTGAGCCTGAAGAGGTTGGTTTAGTAGATTTTTGTTAGGAAACTAAAATTTCTTATTATAGATACTGATCGATTTGATTAATCTGTTAAAATATTTTCTAAAAATTTAAAACTGCATAGATATTTTTAAATTTGAAAGTAGGTCAAAAGAAAAGGCCTACATTTAAAATTACTAATTTCATTTATGGCCTTTGCAGATGAATGTCATCACACAACACTGGTGTTGAAAAAGATCACCTAGGGCACTTATTAGCCTAAGTCTTTATTTGGGAAGCCCAGGAGAGAGGTCTCTAAAACCATATCTAAGATCAGGGAGGAGGCAGGAGTCCCCATGACTGTTATGAGAAAGGGGCAGTGTCTATAAAAGCTCAGCAAGTTTTGGAGGTGGAGGAATTGTTCTTTTGAATTAGCACTAAGTTTGGTAATCTGGATTTTATCAAGAAGACTGGAGAGGAACATTTAAGGACCAAGTCATGTGCAAGAGAGGATGGGAAGTAACAGCTGTGGAGAATGAAAGCGTGCGAGGGCCACAGTGGAAAATTCACAGACCCTAAGAATCTCTCACCAGACAAGGGCTTGGAGAAACATTATTTCCCTTTGTTAGTGACATCTGTTTCAAGTCAACAGAAATGTGTACACGCCTTTAGTAGGGATGAAGCTTAAAATACTGCCATAATGCATGATAAATGACTGAAGTAAAAGACTGTAGAGGGGCTATGCTTACATGGCGCACTTTCAATAACTATTCAAATGCTCCCCAGCACTCCTCCACCCAGCAGTCCATTCCCAGGAAGACTTTGCTCACTTGAAATTTTAGTCTCGCAAACGCCTTTAATCCCAGCATTCAAGAGGCAGTGGCAGAGGCAGGCAGATGTCTGTGAGTTCTAGGCCAGCTGGGGCTACAGGGAGACCCTGTCTTAAGGAAAAAAAAATCTCCCCAAGACTAAGTTTAGATTGAAGGCTACAGTTGTAGTATGCTTTGTCGAGTGCTAATGACAATTTTGTCTTTTCCAGAAGGTGCTTTTTCTACCACTATTAAAGTTTATTTCTTTTTATATCAGCCAAGAAAACAATGGAAGAATTCTAGCTAATATATCTATGACTGATCAAATTGGCTATTAGCTCTAAACAGTTCAGCAATGTGAAGAAATTCAGGAGGATTGAAACTGTCTGCAAAATCCGTAACCTAGCCTCATAAGTTAAATTAACATTTCTGTTCATTAATCAATATATTAAACACAATCAGATAATATATCTTAATTTAATGTTCAGAAGACAAATTACATAGCTTATTAAGTTCTGAGATGTTCTGTTTCAGGCTGGTGATGTAGGACAGCGATGGAGCACTTGTCTATCATGTACAAAGCCCTAGGTTTATTACCCAGTACCTCAAAGGGGGAAAAATTAAAAATAATGTTTTAATAGATGTATTACTAGAAATGTGAAATAAGAGGAGCTGTAATTAATACTATTGTCTCCCTAGCTTGCTTCAGTGGTCTAGCTGTAGTAGAAAGTTGGTTCTGGCCTGCAGAATAGCCCTCACCTGACACTGAACACACTAAGAAGGCTTAATACCAGAAGTGAAAAATATCTCTTGCTGCTTAGTGTGGGCTAAATGTTTGGGTGTTCAAGTTTTGTAGTATATTCAAAGCTCAATTTAACTACAAAAAAAGCTTACTTTTTCTGTAGGTGTATTTGAATAATTAAGTAAAAGAACCACAAAAATGTGGAGCACTAGCAAATAAGCTAGTGATACTCAGCAAGATCGTTTCAGAGCCTGCAACATGATGGAGATGTGTGCTCTCTCCTCATGGAAGGTTTGAATAATCACTGCAAGACTTGGACAGGGGAAATTCAACAGGGATTTATATCGGTTAAACAGTCATTTCCCTCCACCTGTGATTAAAATAAACTGAGCAGAAACAGAAATTTTTATTTTTGTCATATTTGTTAAGACAGGGGACATTGCTGAATTATGTCAGTAACTTTTGATCCACTCAGAAGTGTAAACATTCTGCAAATGATTAAGTTCTTTATATAGCAACCACTGATATTTATGATGCTTGAGTTTGAATAAGTAAAATGGAGATAGAACCAGATGACCATTAAGTACCATCACATTCTGAGTTTTTGTGATTTTTAAATCCAGGAAAGAACTACAATTACATCTGTTTCATACAACTGACATTTCAACAACTCTGCTGTCACAGACTCATAAAGTCAAAAAATGGACCCAGCAATTCAAAGCCAGTAAACCTTTTCCAAATGGTTACTAACTCACTGAGACTTATGCAATAGGCACTGAATGTCTCCTAAGCTTTTGTTCAGAATGAAACATCCTGAGGGGACCAGGCAGATGGTAAAGTGTTTCTGCATAATGATGAGAAATTGATGTTGATTCCCAGCACCCACATACAAAGCCAGATACGGTTGCACACACCTTTAATTCTAGTGATGGGGAGGCTAAGACAGGAGAATCCTGGGGGCTTACTCGCTAGCCATCCTACCTGATTCAGTGAGCTCCAGGTACAGTGAGAGACCCTGTCTCAAAAAATAAGATGAAGAGTGATTGAAGAAGACACCTGCATTGACCTCTGACATCCACAACAAACACCAAAGAATAAAATTAAAGAAATGAAAAATCCCATTTCTGGTTGCCACCTAGCTCACTGTTGCAAACCTATCTATCAGGCAGTAGCTGTGATATCTTTTCAGATTTCTTTGGAAAGTTCTGTGAAGTTGTTTCAGGCCCTATGGCCCCTGGCCCTTCTCTCCCCTCCACTGGTCTTTCAGTAGTGACCAGCACAATTCCTGAATGAAGTCTAGGAAGCCACCGTGTTGGCTCTGTTCACAGGTTGCATGTCCTCATGTCACTCCTGGTGGTTTACAGTGGTAATGGGTGAGACTCCAAACCTGTGCAGATTACCTGCATCAGGGTGCTTAACTAACATTAACAAACAAATGTGTCATTTTTTTGGAGTATTTGAGATAATAGAATATTATTTTCAAATTAATCAATCATCCTAGGGAATTGTTCCCCAAAATATTTATTAGCATAGCAAGGCATCTGCAGGCCTCCGTGTCAGAATCTTTTCATAAAGTTCAAGCTTGTTGAACACCAGGAAGTCTGATTGCCAGACTCTGATTGGTTTCCAGGTTCACTGTTCCACATTCAAGCATGACTTTAACAAGTTAGGTTGACAGGCTGGGGATGTGTGTCAATGATAAGAGTGCTTCCCTGGCAGACAGAGGAGCCTGATTTCAAACCCTAACACCACAAAAAGTAAGATGATTAATAGAATAAAAATAGTTAACTTAAAATATCACATTGACCCATTTAATTTACTTGACACTAAGGGCAAATGCCATACTGCCACCCACTTTTAACTGTCCCCTCTAAATAGCCTAAGTTCTCATTTGAAAGTATATCATAAGGAAGTCATTGGAAGGATTAGCACTGGCTCTCAGACTCTGTGTTGAAAATTATGCGGTGTTTTTAGTGCTGCTAACTGTGATGAAGTTGGTAGTACTCATGAGGTTGGAGCAGACTTTCTTTTTTTGGCTAGTGGCCTGGTAGTTATTTACGCTTCCTGTTAATTTTGAATCCTTTTGTTTACATCTCATAAGCATATTGCTGCCTCATTTCCCCCGACTTTGTGTTGATTATAACACAAAAACACGTCTAAGAATATAATTTACTTCTCTCAGCTGTAGACTAATGCCTACAATGGTGCTGAGAATTAAGTGCCCTCGTGAGAACCAAACATTGCAAGAGCGCCCCTCTGACGCTTCTTTAACAAGAAACACCCTTCTTTTATGGTATTTTTAACAATCATTTTAGTCTATCCAGAGACTCCTATCTTGCCTTAAAGTTTGTTATGTTTTATTTTTTGAGGTGAATTCTGGTAGATTTCTAGAAAAGAATCCTTTGTAAATGAATTTTTCAGAAATTATTGCTTAAAGAGATTAGTAGTTGATCTTCCCAGTCCCTAAAGATCTGCATGCTGCATAGCTGTGGTCTGCCGAAGACTCAGTGATGCCATCGTTACGCTCTTGAAAGATTTTTATTTACAAACCACACTTTCATTTCCTTCTTTCCATTTTGGCCTCCCCTTCTCTCTCTTCCCCTTTTCAGGGTCTCCATCCCTGACTGGTCTAGAACTTTAGATCCCCCTGCCTCCTCCTCTGCCCCAGCCCCAGTCCCAGCCCCAGCCCCAGTCTCAGCCCTCGAAGGCCGGAGATCAGCAACACAGGTGGCCATGCCGGGCTTTTATTTCTTGTTGCCTCCTTTCCATGCTCCTATTTCACTCTTGCTTAGACATTTACGTTAAAGTTTATCTGGGAAATTCTGTATCTGCCACTGTGACTGTGGGCTTGGATGTCTAAATATGCCCCTGTTTCGTCGCTTCTTTCTGCTCTTAAAACAATACACTGATCCTTGTGATTAAAGACTATTATATGTTCATTCAGAGAATACAAATTAGTGACAGAGAAAATAGCAAGGATCAGGGTTTTTAAAAAGAAAAAAGTCACAGAGAAGTTATGGCTAATAAAGGGGGGAGAGAAACGGAAAGATGGCTTTGAGATGTTCTTTGAGTGCATGGGACATAAGAACTCGGAATTCCATGGAAACGAAGCACACACACACTCACTGTGGAGAATGCTCTCGGTTGCCTAGGTTTGCATGGTTTCCCCACAGACTGTCGAAGAGCGGGAGTTAATGAGAATACAACTTCAGCTACTTTCAGAGAAGTAGGCTCCTCTCCCTCTGCCGCCATCAGACCGGTGCCACAGTGGGGCAGGGAGACAGGCTCCTTTGGGAAGGACGTGTGCTTTCAAAAAGCTCTGTGGAGGAGCTCTGCCTTAAGCCAGACCCGATGCTCTGCCAGAGCCACATAGTAAAATGTTCTGAAAACTTAACTAAACCACAATGTGGACATTCTGCTCGAAAAAAGTCTTTAGACCTACATATATGATGACCTTTTCCACTTCCATCTTATTTTTAGCATCCAATTGCTGCTTTATAAATGAATGCTTAAGTTTCCAGTTTGGTGTTGGCTTCAGTTCTCTTGATGCTGCTTTAGGCAACAAAAATTATTTGTAGTTGAGTTTATTAATCGGTCTACTGTTTCCTCGGCCAGACACACTGCCGTTCATTCTTTTCCACTACACCAGGCAGGGTCTCTTTCCCTCTGCTTTGTCACGATTGCAATAAAACACCTTTACAAAGAGATCATTAAGCTGCTCTTAATCTATAATTTTAGCCTGAAAATCCAATGAGGAAAAAACCGACAGAGTATTGCACAAGGGAAAATTTGCTTCATTTTGGTGAATTGCAGTCTGTTCGTTCCTGTTGTAAACACATTCCCTTATTTCCATTTAATTTTTATCCAAAACAATGATGACAAAGAATTCTATTGTGATGTTTCAGAAGGATACTGCACGCCTGGTTTCAACCACTACATAGGAAATTCAGATCTCGAACACGGCTGCTATTTTACTTAGGCCTTTAGTTTAGACATGTTTTGGTGGAATTAGGAGTAATTCGTTCATTAACTTAAATTTTTGTGTGAAAAAATGCCAGTTTAATAGTGAACACTAACAATGTGATTTTGTCTTGGTGGCAGGTGGCCCGACGTTGGGGCATTCAGAAAAACAGACCAGCTATGAACTATGATAAGCTTAGTCGCTCCCTCCGCTATTACTACGAGAAGGGAATCATGCAAAAGGTGAGGAGCTAATACAACATAAAAATTCATTGAAATGTCACCTGCTAGTCTGCATGTCATACTTTACAAACCACGTACCACTGCCTTGTGAAGCATGGGTTTCACTCATTTTAATAAATGCTTAGCTACTGGTTTGGGTATCATGAGTATTTATAGGTTCATGGACATTGGAGATAAATGTGTCAATATTTACCAAGTGATAGGTTTTCTGGAAGTTTTTGTTTTACTACACACAATAAACAAAAATTGTTTCAGTATTGATACTGCGTTTACGTATTTCAGGATGTTGTAACTCTATTAAACCCCGCACTTTTGTGTTTTTAATATGCTTATATTTTTTTCTTGCTCTGATTGTTAAATCATTCAGGCTTCTCTTGCTCTTATTAGAAGAAACATTTTTTTTCATCACTTGATGTCTTGCTTGATTTCATCATCTGATGGTTTAATATCTCAAATTGCCTATTTAAAATAAATGTTTCATGTTATTTGGTTGGTGGAACAAATTTCAATATATTTTATATTCAAGTGAACTTCCTTTAATTCTTAAATGTTTCTTTTTAAAAAGAAAGAGTGAAAATAAAATTTGCTTAAAATATAGCATTTTTGAAGGAGGCAGTAAATAAATGAATAAATACATATCATTTGAATATTTGTTATGATTTCCTTCATCTTTAGGCAGTATATGGCTTTATCCATCCACAGTAATTTGATGTGAGTGCTGTACACTAGAGACCCTTTGGGTGTCACCATGTGGCATAAAAGGGCAGTTTGTTCAACCTGAAAGCATGCAAAAATTAGAGTCTACTTATAGCTAGCAAACAACCAGAGCCTCTTATAATTTTACATTTATCCTTCCTTAGAGATGTACAGACATTTCCTTGCTAATCTCAGACCCTCACATGACTATTAGGTCATCACTGGAGTTCTTTCTAGAATGTTCTGCCTTTTTCTTTGTAATTGTTGCCATCAACCCTTCTGATGTTTAGGTAACATGTAGCATAGTTATTCAGAGAAACACTGCCTCCCCTTTGATTACAAATACATTAAGATGGAGGGTTACATATTACAAATAAGAATGACCATATTTTTTGATTAACTTAAAACTACACAGACATTTGTAGTGTCTATAAAAAGTAATTAAACTTAAAACTTGGGAAGTAAAGTATAACAAGTGGGTTTAAACGTAAAACTTTTTAATCAGCAATTAATTTCAGTAATTCTTAAGTAGAAATAAGCAATGGGGGCATAGTACTTGTTTTAGTGTGTAAATAAAATGTGTGTACTTCTATTTCAAAGTTTAGAAATACCTAGTAAAAGCTATACCAGTAATTTAACAATGGTTATATTCTGGTTGACATAGTTATATACAATTGTTTCCTTTACTTTATCTTTTACATTTAAAATTTTATTTGTATTTTCAATTTACAAATGTATTTTAATGTTTATGCATGAGTACAATGTGTTAGATCAAATCCACCCTCCATTCCCTCCCCTCCAATGAAAATAATTCATTACATTTATTTTATTTATTTATTCATTCATTCATTCATTCATTCATTCAGTGGGGTAGAGGAGATGCTAGAGATTGTGTGTCATAGTTCATGTGCACTTGAGTGGGGCAAAGGTTGCATGAGTTGTTTCCCTTTCCTCTCTGTGGTCTCAGTGATTTAATTTAGGTTCTCAGGCTGGGTGACAAGTCTCTACCTGACAAGCCATTTTGCTGGTCCTGCATTTGAAGTTTTAAAAGTTGGAATGTAATTTAAATATCTAGTGTTTGTAAACACACCCATCTCCCTGCTTATTTTAGATATATTCCTCCACAAAATTCCTGTTTTCCATCTCACTGCTGCAGATAGGGTATACCTAGTATGCAGAATTTTTATACTGAGGTTGTATCTCTGTTGTGCCATTTGCTTTGTTTGGATGTCAGTTCTTATTATAAGCTCAACAATATCTGAACAGTACAATGAATAGAGTCATAGTACTAAATTTTTTATTCAAAAGAAAAATAGAAGGAAACATGAATAAAGGCAGAAAGCTTAGGAGACTTTACAGTCTCAATTAAATGCTGTATATTTAAATTCCTCATGGAGAAATGTTTTCATTTATTACCTGGTTTTTAATCAAAGCCAGTATCAGCAGGTCATACAAAACAGGTCCAGTACCCAATGCAAACAGCACCCTCTCTGTAGCCCAAAACCAAACAGAGCAGGTTTAGAACACTCAGGGGTATGCAGAACAGTATGTATTTCACTTTTATCTAGAAAATACTTTGAAAAGCAAAAGAAAGAGAACAAAACTAGGATTTATTATTTCAGGTTTTTCTTTTTCTGATTTTAGTTTTACTATCGTTTCATCAGTTCACCTTTAAGAATTAATTTCCTTCACACTGAGGACCGAGGTCAGTGAATTAAGCCACAGTCCTCTGTCTGTGCTGCACTGTGCTATAGACTTCCCTCTCAGTCTCACAACTGCCTCTCCAAGGGGCCCTTCCTGTCTCCATTTCAGAAGAAAAGGAACTGAAGTACAGTTTAGGAAACACATCCAAATTCATAAACACACTGAGTGTTGGCTCCTTCAAACCTCAAAATATTCAGATTATTTGGACTCTAAAGTGGTTTCTTTTACTTAAATTCAGGGCAATAGATATTCTAAATCTGAGTCCAGAGCAGCAGGGGTCTTTGGCAGTCTCTCTCTCTCTCTCTCTCTCTCTCTCTCTCTCTCTCAAACATAGAGTTTATAAACCATGAGCGCATTGCTTCCCCCGTCACAAATCAACTACAGGACCTTTGAACACAGAACCACGAGATGCTGAACCCTTTTCAGTGTTCTGAAATTACACACACGCACACCCCACCAAAGTTAACACAAGGAACCGCCTTTGTTCCCCCGCCACAGCCCTGGGCTCCAGCCCCTCCTCTGTCGCTGTCTGGTAATGGGAGGCACATTTGTCTTTTTTGGTTGTTTATCGTTTGCTACAGGAGCATTACTCTTGAAAATTTAAGTTTGGGGCTGTTTTCCCTACAAATTGTGCTGCATCTCTTCTATTTCAGGCACCTGTCACATTTCTTTTTCTCATTTCCTCCCTACACATTCTGTATTTTAGATTCCTTTCACTCTTTTTACACCTCTTACTTCAATTTGACACTTTACATACATCCTTAAGCTTCATCTAACATATCTTGCCTTCATCTTAAAAAGTGATGGACTCAGGATAATGCCCTCTTGATCCATCCTTTATGTGTATAAGGCTATGTATCTTTGGGGGTTTTCTTAGATGACACTACAGAGTGCCCCAAATGATGACGAGAAAGAAGCACTGTCCCCTGGGAATTAGTGATTGTTAGTCTCATTAAAAATAAAATACACGTTCTTTTTTTTTCTTTCAAGGTTTGGGAGTTTTAGAAACACTATGGTAAGAGAAAGTACCGTTAAAGATAACAGATTTTCATAAGTATAAATATTACCTTGAAAGCTTTAAAGCAAAATCTAGAATGTGAATTCTTTGCTTTATTTCATTGATTTTTCTTCCCCAAATGACAATGTAAGTACACCTTTATGTTAAAAAGGTGTGGAGGGGGGGGCGGGGACTGCTGAGTCTTCTAGCTATTTGTGGAGTGAATTAATTATTACTCAAGGTCAACGTTTTTGTGTCTCCCTTGACTGAGTGATAGTTTATTCTAGAAAGGACAACCCCACCCCCTTTCATGTGTCTGCAGTTACTGGGTCGCTTACCCTCTTCTGCTTTCTGTCCCTTGCTGGTATATTAATCCGTGTTTTTTTTTTTTTCCCCCCTCTTCCCACCCCCCATCTGGGAACGGTGAGGATGGGCTTTTCCTGGATATTATCAGGTGGCTGGAGAGAGATATGTCTACAAATTTGTGTGTGATCCTGAAGCCCTTTTCTCCATGGCCTTTCCGGATAATCAGCGCCCGCTGCTGAAGACAGACATGGAACGCCACATCAACGAAGAAGATACAGTGCCTCTGTCTCACTTTGACGAGAGCATGGCCTACATGCCAGAGGGGGGCTGCTGCAACCCTCACCCCTACAACGAAGGCTACGTGTACTAACATGAGTGACAGTCAAGAGGGGCACCCTGTGCTTTGCCTCTTTCCGAAAGATACAGAGAATCACAGGATTCTCTTCAATCTTTGTTTTATTTTTGTTGTTTGTATTTTATTTTTAAATAATAATACAAAAGGGGCTTTTCCTGTTGCATTATTCTATGGTCTGCCATGGACTGCGCACTTTATTTGAGGGCGGGGCGGGGGGGGCGGTGAGTAATCTAAACATTTATTCTGTGTAACAGGAAGATGATGGGTGAATGGGCAGAGGGAACCGGGGATTACTTTTTACTTAGACTTGGGATGGGGTCCTTCCTACAGGCTTTCTGTCTGATGAAGCTAGATCATATCTGTTCGATTTCATAATAACATAAGATAATGTTCATTTTCTCTGGGTATCTATGGTACACTTAAGTTCATGTTGTATAAATATACACTTGGAGACCATTTGCCTTGGGCATTTCCCCGTTATTACTGAGTCTCCGCAGGTGTACAAAAAATATCTACTGTAAATGGCAGTTTAATGTTAGAAATGACTGTTTTTGCACCTCTTGTAAAAAAAAGTATTTAGCGATTGCATTTGGTGTTCTTTTTGTTCTGTTTTGCTTTATATATGACTCACAGAGGAGAACCATAAATGTGGGCAATTCTCTCTGAAGTTGTCATCACCATGACTATAAATGAGGGGCACAATTTTGGACTCTGGCTCCAAACTGAGTCACAGGTCAGTAGCGTTACATGTATCGGGCGCCACCTTGCTGTTTAGGTACAAATCATATCGTGTTTCAAATATTTTGATGCCCATTTCAGTTAAATAATGACAGGTCATGGTCCTTTGGAATCTTCATTTAGATGCTAAATCTTGGATCACCTTGAAGCAAAAAAAGAAAAAAAAATTCTCCTTTCACTACCTTCAGTACATAAATACATTATTTAATCAATAAGAATTAACTGTACTAAATCTCATATAATGCTGTTCTAGTTACAGCAAACACTCTTTAAGAAAAATATCCACTACACTAAATAGGTACACTAGTAATTTTTAGACATGGTACCCATTGATATGCATTTAAATGTTTTACTGCTGTGTTATGTTGATAACATATATAAATATTAGATAATGCTAATGCTTCTGCTGCTGTCTTTTCTGTAATATTCTCTTTCATGCTGAATTTACTATGACCATTTATAAGCAAAGCAGTTAACTACAGATAGCATTTCAGGACAAAATAGATGACTCAAACCATTTATTGCTTCAAGAAATAGCTTACGCCATGCTATGCTATAAGCAGCTTTTATGCACATTGACAAATGAAGTAAGCTTTAGCTTGCTAAGGGAAACTGTGGAAACTTTTGTAACTTTTGGTGAGATGGAACGTTATTTATGAACTGTTAAGTTGTAGGAAGTTGCTGTGTGACAGTTCTGGCACTGAGGTTCTCCACCGGCTCATTCTGGGCACTCCTGGAAATGTGATCACATTGTCTAAGACATTTAGACATAAGACATAAAGATTGGAAGTTTCAAAGTTTTGAGTTTTTTTTTTTTATTTTGCATTTTAAAAAAACATTGAAAGTGGGCCATGTTGTTCCATTCATTCTAAAAAACCTTAAGTAAATGACTAAAGTATCTCTAAATAGCTTCTTATAAGATTCCAGCAAAGAAAACGAATTTTGTTCAGTCCATTAATATGCTAGAGGAACAACTTTTTAAAGCTTCTATAGCAAAATATTTTTTTAAAAATCCTGAGCCATGAAGCCAAAACAAGCCTGTGAAAGCATTTCATGAGCACAGCACAGCAGAGACTGTGCAGCAAAGAAGCTCCCGCAGCAGTCATCTCCCAACACTACATCGTGAGAGCTGTTTCTTAAAAGGGAGCAGTCGCTTATGAATCCACATGCAAACCAAGACTTCATATTCTGTCAGAAACTTTCTAACTTCTACATATGTATATAACCTGCGACTTCAATGACTGTTCTACATATGTATCATATATCATTGGACCCTTAATGGGCCAAATAAAATGCCTTAAGAAATCAGGACATCCCCCATGCTAGCGTGGTCACATACAGCACTTAGAATGAAAACAGATTTTAAAATAATCAGTGGAATTTTTATTGAAAATAGAACTGGCATATGTGATTGGGATATTTGGTAAAATTGAAGGAAAATTTTAAGTGAGTTTTTCAAGTACGTTCTAAATGCAAATTGTATTGAGGATTTCGTTTCTCTTTTCCATTATTTCTTTTTCTTTGGCATTTTCCCCCTTTTAATATTCTTGTTCTAGTCAGTGAAGAACTGGGCCATGAGTTATTTTAAAGGATCAAGGAAGATATTGATTGATTGAAGGTACAATCTCTAAGGACAAACTATGTATTTGTTGTTTAAGGTGAAAGTCATTAGCCACTATTAAGTATATTTCTAACACAGAGGATTTCAAAATATTGCATTATAAGCTTTTGCGAAATGGCATTTTTTTTAAGTTTTGTTTTTCTATTTTTTTCTTGTGTTTTCTATGGTGTTTTTTTCAGGTAGATTAATAAATCTGGCAGCTGATTTCTGCAAGATTCTTGTGTTTGAATTTCTAACTGAACTGGCTATCAAACATAGAAATTAGTGAAATAATGTTTTCCTTCGACTTGGTAAAAGAAAACTAAAACTTAAAAATAACTTGCCAATGACACGGTTATCCAACAGATTAATGACATCAGGAAATAATACTTTCCAAGTAACTTGTGAGAAGTGATTTTCTTAAGAGCTGCTTCGAAATCAAAACGCACAAAACTGAGTATGCTGAGCATTTGCTCAAGTCACAGAAAGAGCTTGGTCTTGCTTCCTGTAGATCTTATAACAAATCATGCAGACTTTAATAAGTTAACACAAACTTACCTTATCATTTTGGAGGTCAGAAGTCCAAAGTGAGCCTTAAAGGGCTAAAACCAGGAGATTTGTAAAGGCTGCTTTTTTCTGGAGGTTGAGGAACAGCCCTTACTCCCAGTTCTAGAGGATATGTGTTCTTTGGCTCCTAATTACAACACTTCAATGTCTGCATGCTTGATTGCATTCCTTTTTCTCAACTGTCACATCATCTGGCCTCCTGCATAAACTCTTGTGATTCTGTTTAGAATTTACCCAGAAAACCCAGGTTGGTCTTTCCATGTCGGCCTCTTTAATTCTAGGCCAAGTCCCTTTTGCCAGATAAACAGATCCTAAGATCTTGGGATTCTGATGTGTTATGGGGCAAGGCTTGGGAAAGCTGTTAATTCAGGATTATTCAGCTTCCCACACAGATAAAGACCCCCATGGAGATAAAGATCCCACAGAGCAACAAATGCTAATTTATTTATTCATGGACAAAAGTTCTTTGGAGGTAGCTAAGATTAGAATGCACTAAGGAATATTTTCATTTACCATTTGAATTATCTCCCTGTATTCTGGTCTGTATCAGTAGCTTTGAAAATCTCTGTATTAAGAATTAAAAAATCTATTCACCTATTCTACTAGTAAGTCATCTAGTCCATCAAATCAAGCCTTTATATTATTTAAATATCCCCTTCCCTGTAAGCACCATGCAATGAAAGAAAGAAGCTGTGATAACAGCAATAGCACAATTGAATTTGATGCCCATGCCAGATTATATTTTTTTAATGAATTTCTTTTAGTGTCAATAATGAGTTGATACCTTGTGACCTTAGCATCTGCAAATAATTACTGCTTATCCAGTAAGAACAATATATAGAATACATCTTTTGTTAATTAAAGGAACAACTGTAAAAGTGAGTCAACTTCTCTTTATATGACAACGAAGGCTATTTCTTGGCCGATGTTGCAGTATTTAAACACATTATAGAGCTTCTAAAATGAACCATGTTGTCAGTTGTGCAACCCTTTCAAAGATAATGATGAAACATTACAGAAAAACCACTTGAATGTCTTATTACTTGTAATCTTAAAAAAATTTAAAGATAAGAAAGGAGTAAGCTATTTTCCAGATGCAGTTTGGTATGGAGAAGAAAAATTATTAAAAAGTATACAAAGTGGGCAAAATAATGGAAGGAAGAAATTTAAAGAAAAAGATAAACATATTGAACAATTCTGACAAAAAAATGCATAAAATCCAAGTTTCTAAAAGGTTTTTGTGTTCAATATAACACAAAAGACTCTAACCCTTAGTACACTAGGAGGAGGAAGAGACCACGAGACTGGTTGCTGGGTTCTTCTGAGGACTGATCAAATGGAGGGAGAATTGTTCTACGTTTAGGGCTTGATTTAAAAGAAATGTGACACTGACTTAGATATGAAAAAAAGAGTTTATGGAAAAGTATAGTTTCAAAAGAGAATTTGACTATACAGTGGGTGCCTTTATAGAAATATTGGTGACTTTGGAATGCTCAATTAAAAAATGTATATATAATAGCTTTGGCTTACAAATTCATATATGAGGTAGATTTTCTTTTTGCACATAAACTCCAATATTATTTAGTTCCATTCAAAACTTATCTTTCTATGGGGAAGATTTTTTTTAATTCACTTGGTTGTATTAAGATCATATTTATTGTTTGAGAAAACGTGCTTTGAAAATAATGTGCTAATAGCAAATTAAATATACTCAAAATTTAAATATAAAATAAAAGCCCAGAAATTGAAAATGTTGGATTTTTGTGATCACTTGGAATGGTGGCACATCCAAATCTTATAAATGTCATCTCAGTTGTTGATTGCCTTCTAATTAGCTTATTAATTTTACTAATTTATGACCAAGCTCTGTAATAACTGTTTGCTAGTTCTGCCATTTCTTCCATTCATTTTCTAAATAACATAGAGACATGGAACTTGATACACTTTTTCTAGTTCTATGTTGCAATTTCTTTAGATGTTATATTTCACTTAATCTCCTCAATAAATCTATCAGGAAGACTATTTGGAAAACAGCATAGATACATGACTTGCATTACTGCCTTTAATGTGTCTTGATTTGTCTAATAAGTTGAAAAAGTATGGAATGTTTATTTCAGAATGCCAGGGAATCACAGGCAAATTAATAACTTGGACCTAGCTATATTCTTGATTTAACTTCTCATGACAAGAATGTCTGTTACAATTACATTTTGAGGAAACAGTGTTATTGCTTGATTGATTAATTGCCTGACCTTACTATTTGAATATTCCTTGTAGAAAGAACTAAAAGGCTAGCGCCCTTTAAACAGCATAAACAAATGAAAATGACTGAAGTGTCATTTTGATTCTTTTCCATTGTAGAAGACTCCATCCTTGGGAGCCCCAATGAAATACCTGTGCACCTCCCACTCTTCAGAAAGCTATCAGCACTGACTGCTCCAGGCTCTTCACGACTAGTTAAAAAAAAAAAAAAAGGTTCTCAGAAAACTTCTGATGCACAAGAGAGTCAGTCACATGATCCAGAAGAAACAAAGAATAGTTTGAAAACAGATATCCTGAAAGAACAGAAAAAAACTTTATAATGAAATCTTAATTTTTAACATTTTGCTTCTACAAAAAGGGTAATGACATTCTTATACACAGTGTAATGTTCCAAATACCTGTTAAAATGATCAATAGTTTAAAATGTGAATTTATTTGGCAAAGATGTTAGCAACAAAAAAGATAATATGATGACATTACTTTTTAAACTACAAAATGCTATATTTTCTGTGCAGGAATCAAACTCGGGACCTGGCACATGCCAGGCAATGCCTTGCCACTGAGCTATACTCCCACCCCCTCAGAACGCCTTGAAAAAGAATCAGATGATAAAAAGATTTCTTCCCAGAATTTCCTATTTATTTTCACAAGAATCCATGTTTATTAAGCACCCCTGAGGCAAATATTTCTACAAACAAACAAAGAGAAACATGGAAATAAATATTTAGATGATTTAGCCCTTACTGGAAAAAAATGTCTACTGTATCATGAAGTGAAAGGCTATTAATTCACTTGTATTAGGGTGCACTACTTGTTTCAATTTGCTCTGTGTTGGGAAATCCATCTAGTCAACCTCTCAAAATCTAAAATTAGACTTAAACACTAGCATAAAATCAAGAGCTTGCATATTTTCTGGGCCCAAATTAAATGCCTCGCATGCTAGGTAGAGACTGCGAAAGATACAATTCATTCATAGAAAGTCATCTTTATCCTCAAACTAAATAAAACTAAACAACATTGATCTAACACACAATTAGATGAGATGTGTCTAGTGTTGAGAGTGTTTGGACTCTACAAAAGAAGCAGTTTAATAATGTCTAGAAATTGTGTGAAGTCCAGGATATTTTTATCCAGATGAGATTTTAAACATCTGTGGCTACGACATGATACAGTTAATCACTAGTATAAGTACATGTTATGTTACTGTAGCAAGATATGAGGACTTAAGAATCAAGAAAGGCAAACTTACTCTTTCAGTTCTGGACCAGCCACCTTGATTAAAGCACTTACTTGTGCAGAGCCCACTCTGTGCACAGGCACACACTGGGATTCCTCACTGTATGGTGAGAGGATTGGGTCATGTTTGCTAGTTCTCAGCCTCAGTAATCAGCTGGTGAAAAGACAGTCAGCCACAGGCCCCGTTGTGTTGATGATGCAGCTATTTTTGGTACATCCCCTAGCAACTGGCCTTCTGCCCTGAGCTTGCCACTGTTGTCTACAAAGGGCAATGGAGATGAGTCACCAGATCCTCCCGGTGCTCCATGATTCCAGTCCGTGTTCTATTGTTCATACACCTGACTGCTTGACAACAGAAAACTCGTATGTTGCTATCTGCTGCGTTCCCCTGCTTGTGTGGATCTGTTCCTTTTGCTAAAACTTTCTCAGTTTACACATATCACCCCAGCATATTTTTAATAGTGCCACTTTTACTCTCCAAGTTTGGAAAAATAAACCAATTTTTTATTTGTAGCCTGTGTCAAAATTCTCTGTTTAAGGTTCCATTGAGATAGGTTTTTGGGCAATTATCACAGCATTGCCCCATGTCAAATAGCTCTGAAAAGTGAACCTTTCCAAATTGGATAAAATTAACTTGTTTCCCCCCTTTCTATAATTGGTAGCCCGTACTAGCTACCATAGATTCAAGTTTTAAATATTTCAATATATTGTCAATCAAGGAATGGTTGAAATTTTTAGGAATTAGAGAAAAACACTTAAGTATCAAGGCAGGGCAGGCTGTTTACTCATTAACTTGTGGACCATCTCTATCTTGATACCTTGATTAGGAATATTTATTAAGTGCCAAATTGAATAAAAGTCAAGGTTTACAAGATTTGGATAGGTGTTTAGGAAAATGGGTGCAGTACTCCTTCACTATAGGTAGGTAACGAGCTTAGTAAAATGAGAGCGAGTAGATGGAATAGCTGTCAGAACTGGTAAGAATGTAACTTTAAACATCCTGGTTGCTTGAAACAATCAATTCTATTCAAGTTCCTACTGCTAAATTTCACAGTTATCCACTATCTCTGCGTTTCTGCATCACTTATTCAAAATTGCGAGCCCAGGAAGTGAGCCGTAGAGTTTTCTCCTGATGTGTGTCCACAGCCCTTGTCTGTAAAAGATCTTGGGCTTGTTTAACAGATTGGCCAAGTCCTTGTACCATGTATGAGAACTAATTCTCCAGATTTTTTTTTGACAGCTTAAAACTACATGCTTAATGTTTCTTCTTTCTTAAGTCACTGGAAATAATATTGCAGTCCATTTTCAGAACTGGAGAACTGGCAAATGCAGAATATTCTTTATGTCATTTCATCTTCTTTAAGAGTACTTTGATTTCTCCAGGATCTTCAAGCCGTGTACTGTGGCACATATTTATAAAAGCAGTCATCAGCAAGGGTCAGAGGACTCTAGACTAAATGCAGTAATGATGACTGCAAAACTATGTGCAAACTATGTTCTGCATTAGTTTCCTAAGGGTGTGATAAGAAAGCACAAATGCTGGCTTAAACAATAGAAAGTAATTATTTCACAATTCAAGAGACTAGATGTCTAAAATCAAGGAGTGGGCAGGGTTGGTGCTTTCTTTGGCTCAATATCAGACTCTTTTCCTGACCTACAGAAACTGTTGTCTCTCTGCCTGTCTTCACATGGTCTTTCCTCAGTGCATTTCTATCTCTGTCCAAATCACCCTGGTTGGAAGGATAAGTCACATTGGAATCTGGGTCCGTTCCAATGACCTCGTTTAGCTTCCTTCTGTAAAGAACGTGTCGCCATATGAGAGTATCTTTTTTTCTTTTTAAAACTCAGGGCACACCTCATCCCATAAAAAGTATTTAAATTTGGCCAAGTGAAAGTGAAGGAATCCCTAAGCATAGTATTTGAGAATAAAGTTTAAGGGACAAACCACAATGATATCTTCCTTGTATGATGAGTGTGGAGAAGGAAATTAAACGTGACAAGAGCCTTCCTTATATTCTCAAGGAGATGCTTGAAATGAACTTCATTTTCTTAGTCTTCTAGTCCTTTCACAAATTAATCCTTTTAGTAAAATGATGTTATAAGGGAGTTAGAATAAAGAGCTTAATCATATAATAAATTTAATGAGATGTTGGACTAATAATAGACAATGAAATATTATGAGACCAGAACAAGAGTAAAAGAAAGGAGAAAAAATATTGTAATATAAAGCTAGTTTGCTGTCTCTGTTCCAGTTTTTAGGACCCAGAAGCTAGCTCAAAAACATGAACAAAACCACTCTAGAGTTTCCTGAGCTCAAATGAGAAGTTAGATGAGGAAATTTGCATTGAGCACTACTTATCATTTAAGCACCATTGAGCAATAAGCAGCGTGGGTTTACACAGAACAAATCACGCCAAACAAATCTGATTGCTTTTTTTTTTATTGAATTACAAGATTAGAGGATGAATGCAATGTGGGAAATGTAATACTTTTGAATTTTAGCAGAACATTTGATACAACATCTCATGAACTCTGAAATGAATTCAAATAGTCAGGAATATTAACACCAGGGTAAGGAATGGATATTAAATAAAGGATTTCAAAGAAAAAGAAGTAATAATCAACCGTGATACAGCAGCTTGGGAACGCATCATTATAAGGTGCTACAGTGTGCTACAGTGATCACAGGATTTATTCAGTACATATTAACATTCACACAGCTTTCTTGGGCTTGGTGAAAAGAAGTGGAATAAAAGACTAAGAATGCACCCCATGACTTCAGACAATAGATACAATCAACTTAGATTTTGGGAAAGAAAAAATAGACACGGACTCCTGGATTTTTCATGCTTTTGAAAGCAGTTGCTTGTATCACTAGATCATTTCAGCCACTTCTTGCTCTAAAATTCTCTCGTGGCTGCATTGATTTGGTCTTTCTATGTCTTAGAACAAGCTAATTCTTTAAGACACTTAAATGGCCCTGACCAAAATAAAGTCCATGGAAAAAATAATATAAGCCATCTCAGTTTCCTGACTCTGCAGTGACCAGGTTTGGTCAGCATACTTGATTGCACTGGAGCATGTGCGCCCTTCATGTTAGCTACTACCCCTTAGGTGCAAGTTAAATATAAGAGCTAATTAAATAAATAGGAGGGACTGTAAGTATTCCAATGAAATTCATAGTTGATTCTAAATTAGGAGTTGCCACTAAAAGCAATGAGGTCAGTAACCTCATAGCAATGCCCTGGTACAAGAGAGAAGTGCGTGCATTAAATGTAAAGTACGAGAATAGCTGGGAAGGACAGAAATGCACAGCATTCATGCGTGGGCTGCAATGAGCTGACAGCAAACAGACTTATGCATTTGTAGTGTCAGGTATCACCCAGGAGATGTAACCTGATGTTTGATCTATTAGGTGAGGTTCAAAATGATTCATCAGCTTATGAATATATTACTAAGATTCCTTCTGAAAGACAGGATTTATTCTCTCTAGAAACATTTCTTTTTGACATAACAAAGAGGTAGAGAGTGAGATCAGAGCAAACAGCAAGGGTGATTATGAAGTGTCGGGACTGGCAGATGATGAAGGATGAAAGTGTATACTTTATTATTAGACAAAGGACTAGAATGTTACTCTGCAGGTGTATAGTATCTGTGGAGGTGAGTAGCAAGAGAGATTCAATATTTTCTAAAGGCAAAACAAAAACAATTGTAAAAATTCTTGGAATGAAAAAATTTATTCCTGAATTAGTAACAATTAAAATCATAACATCTTGGTTGCGGGAACACTATATATCTGAAAGAGTATGGAGAATTGGCTTGAGATTATT